CGGCCACGGCGGCGGGCAGGGTGCTGTAGTACGTGGCCACGTCGACGCCCGGGGGGGGTGGGGCCAGGCAGTAGGTGCCGTCCGGGAGCATGTAGTAGCTGTAGTACATGGCGGCCACCGTCGCTGTGAACACACGTTTGGAGTGAGAGCAGCAGAGAGGACACCGCCCACCCTGCGCAACATCACTGTCCACTTCCAACCGCACGGTCTCTCCACGTTCCCGCGACCTGAGCACCACACGCCTGCTCCAGCTAAGTCCAAGGGAGAGACGTCTACGGCGGCGTCTCTCAGAGCAGGAGGAGCTGCGGGGAAAACCCGCTGCTGAAGGCGTCAGGCCGCTCAGAAGCACGTCCCCCGCGCTGCGTGTGCGCTGCGTGTGCGCTGCGTGTGCTTGGAAGCAGAGCCAGCCTGCACGGGGCAGAGAGCTGCCTAGTCACCTCCCACACGCCTCTGTTCAACTGCCTCCTGCAAGCTCAGGGCCCACTTAGCTAGTCCTTCAGATATTCCGACCTGATCTTAATCTCCCGTGACTCTACCTCCAGAGACTACCCTCCCACTGAGGGGCTCCTGGGGACGGGCTGAGCCTCCCGTCTGTGCAGGAACGGAAACGGCTTCCCGAGTCCTGGGAACAGGGAGCTCCTCTGAAGCCCTGGGGCTCTGAGGGGGGAGCTGGGACAGCGCGTGCTCCCGAGGGGTGACTAGCTGAGCACGTCTGAGAAGCAGGGACAGGATGACGCTGTCACCGACCCCAGCTGCCTGCCCTGCAGCCCACCCATCGCCCACCCAGGCATCAACCGGGCACCGGACCCCCGAGTCTCGGTCTTGGTGACGCGCACCAGCAGACGGGTCTAACTCTGGTGACTTTAAGCCCTGGTTGCCCTTGAATCTCCTCTCCCAGCCGTTCCTCCCCGACTCGGCGGTGCTGTTTGCTCCCTGTCTCCAATGGCCCACGGGGAAGGGAATCCCGTTCTCCGCTGTGCCCGGCCTGGCACGGCCCTGGTGCCAACGTGCACAATGAAAGTACACGTCACGTGGGCACCACCCACACGCTGAAGGGCCACGCGAGACCCTCTGTTGATATGGCTGGTGGACCAGCGTCAGAACAAACGACTCCTGGTGACCCACTGCCTAACGTAACCCCCAGCTCTGCCTCCAGCGAGACGCCCTCGTGAAGGTCGTCACGTCTGAGCGTCACCCCCGCGTGCGGGCTTCCCGGTCCCTGGGCGGCGGCAGCACTGACCTGAGTCAGGTTCGCTCCCTTCACCCTGAAGGCCTCACCCCAGGAGAAGTCAAAACGATATTCAAACCCAACGTGCAACTCACTGCCAGTCACTGACTCCCGACCCCGCTCGGGAGGGTGAGGGCCGTGCCTGCGGCCCAGGGGTCCCCGCCACCGCCCCTCTCCCTCCAGCTGCCTCGCCCTCAGAGCCGCCTCCCTGCTGGCCGCGGGTCACGGTTAACAATCCCCGAAAGGCCCTCGGGCCTTGCTGGTCTCAGGCTGCAGGAGGGCGCTTTTCTATTCGCTCTCCAGAAAAGTCACCAAACCCAAACTCCTCACAACGCCAAGCCCGCAGCGCTCGCCTCAGAAGCACGGCCCCCGGACGCCCCCCTCTGAACACCATCGAACCGGGAAGGGCTGGGCCCACCCGCCCCGTGGGGAGCGATGGCCGCTGGCTCTGCTCCTGACACGCGGCCATGCAGCTCGTCTGCTCCCTCCTGTGACCCCCAGTCACCCCCTGGGAGACACAAAGTCCGCACGGAAGGAGGCTGTGCGGGATCGTCTCACCCGACAGAAAAGGCACAGCCGGAAAACGGGAGACGCTGCGTCTGGACCACAGAGAAGGCCTTGCTGTGGGGCTTACAAAGCACCATGTCAGCCACTGCTTTTCAACCGCACCCGACAGAAGAGACGTGGCTGGACCGGCCACGCGACCGGCACAGAGAGGGACAGGAATGGCTGCGCTGAAGCCAAGACACACAACGGATGACGGCAGGAGAGAGACGACCACAGGGAGGACGCGGCGTCTCACCAAGAAGCCGACCCCGACGTTCGGGGTAAACAGGAAAGAACTTCCTGGGAAGGAGACTCCGGCTGAACGGTGCACGGCGTGTTCCAAGGAACTGGGCATGTGAGCTGACCGAGTTGTCAAACGTCAGAACCGAAGAAGAACGAATGCTCAGAGAAGGAGACTCCGGCTGAACGGTGCACGGCGTGTTCCAGGGAACTGGGCATGTGAGCTGACCCAGTTGTCAAACACCAGAACCAAAGAACGAATGCTCAGGTGTCCAATCAGAGCCGCAGCCGCCCACCGCGAGGTGGGGAGATGAAGCCGACCCGCTTTTCACAGCAACATTCAGCCCAGACACGCTCAGCGATGCCCTCGCTTCCAGGCCAGTGTGAGACATGTCCTTCGCTGCCAAGCTGCCAACATGTCAAGAGGCAGCAGACATTTCCAAACACAAGAGCTCTGAGAACAGCGCCCGAGAGCAGTTAATGGAAACCACCAACCAGCAAAGCAAGCCCACGCCCCCAGCCCGGGCAGCAGCCAGCAGGCCCGGCGTCCCCGCGTCAGGAAGAACCACGCCAGGCTCTATTTGCAAAGGTCACCGAGAAAGAAAACTCTCCCCGAGCATCTTCTACTCGGACGCGATTTCCTTTTCACACCAGGGCCGGAGGCAGGCATTTCTCACGTATGGAAGAGCTCATGGGGCAGAGCTCTTGTCAAAAGTTCCTTGTTTATCAAATCCGAACCCCAAGAGGCAAATGGGATGAAGAACCGGAAGGGGAAGCCGTGGTGGGAGCGAATCCGCGGGGCCGCTGAGCTGAGACTAACCAGCGAGGGCGTTCCAGCTGCAGGCACAGCTGTGGGACAGAACACACGCTTCTTACCAGGCACAGGTCGGGGGAGAGGGAAGGTGTTCCATGAACACGAACTTCCTCCAGCTTCACAGCTAATAAAACCCAAGGTAACAAATACAGCTTTAAAAAAACCTACCATTTCTACCTCTTTAATGTTCTCCTAATCCTTAGAACGAAACCACTGATATGCAGTTACTTCACTCGGATTTCTGATTATAAGGTTCTTGTGTTAAATTCAAGTAAAATTTTAAAGTGTCCACTTTACTATTTCTATCCACACAGCCATCATTTACATAGATTATTTCTGAACTGTACAATGTGAGCTACTCTTTTTCCCTCTTTACTTTCTACAATGACCTGTTTCTCCATTTGTGTCGATGTCCCCTAAAGTGAAAACGACTATTTTTGGATGGTGGGTCTTGGGTAGTATATTTACTTTCTTCTTCTACTTCTCTTGACTAACAATAAAGTCATTTAAAAAAAGGGCTTGGAAAGTCACTTCAAGGTCACGATTTTGCAGAAAGCAAGGAAATGCTATAAACACAACAGCCAAAGCACATTTAGCAAATCCAGCCACATGATGTGATTTAATTTCACTTAGGCTATTTATGGAATGAAACATTAAAAAAACAAAGTTAGCATTTCAGTAATTTCTTTTTTTGTTTATTTTTAAAAAACTGCATGCTGTAATATTGGACAGAACTTCAGTGACACTGCTTCCTGTAGGATTAACTCTACTCTGAGCCTCTTCCGCAAGGAGTTACAGCTAAGCAGCAGGAGACAGCAAATCCTAACAAAACCAAGGGCATGAGAAGCAGCTCACTGTCAGGCGGACAAATGAAAGCACGTGTTGGCGTCCCATCTGTACGTAGGGTTTCTAGCTAAGGTTCATTTAGAGAGACAGACGCTTGTCTTCCGAGGCTGCCAGGACCCGGGAGGCCCCCTGCAGCAGACGGAAACGCAGCCCCGAGTCACTCGCGCGCGGCCCCCGTTTCCACGCGGCCGCTGCTTCTGCCCGTCTCACTGAGAGCTGCCGTTCATGGGATTATTAGTCCTTGTTTTCCGTCTTGGCCGTAAAGGCTGTTTGTATGTTCGACAGTTTTTTCTGCTTTCTCAACAGTTTCACATTTTCCATTAGTTAAATGTGTCTGTTGGCTTAAAATAGATGATTCTTTATCTGTGAAAGTGCCTTATTTCCGGGGAGTTTCACATCTGGACTCCCATCTGGAAGAGGCTCTGCTGTTGGATTCGAGGTGGACCTCGCCTCCGTCAGCGGGGGCGCCCCCCTGTCGGCACCTCCTCCCACTGGGTGCTGACTCGGGTCCCCTCAGTCCTGCGCTGACCACCACCCGCAGGACGACACAGCCTCCCCTCTGCAGGCAGCTGGGACTTTCTGCTGTCACCACCAGTTTTCCTCTCCAACTATTTCCCAGTGGACCTACTGTAACTGTGTATCTAACAGATGAAATGAGTGAGAAAGAGAACTCCTGTTCCTGTGGAAATGAACCCGAACCCTTTGCAAGGGCAGAGGAAGGGCAGTTGCTTAAGGAAACTGCGGCGGGGCTGGCGGCGGGCGAGGCCGTGGGAAAGCCTGGCAGTGAGTGAGGTAGACCCAGAGCCCGGCTCCCAGGCGGTGCCGCCGCACCCAGGGCCGCCCCGAGGCGAGGGCTCTCCGCTCTGTGACCTGAGGGACACGTCGCCCTTCACGCTGCCTCTGCTCCAGGCTCCCCAGGCCCTTGCTGTTCCCGACACCAGAGTCTGACCCAGGAAGCAACACCCAGGACCTGGCGCAGGTGCTCACACGCCCGCTCGGCGTCACTCTGACCTGCAGCCTGTGTGCCAGCCGGGCTTCTCCTGGAAACCGGACCAGAGCACACCCTCCAGCCACCTCCCGCCCGTGACCCCAGGCCTGAGCAGGCGTCCGCTGAAAGGACCCTAGGGCCCATGGGGACGCTCTTCTCCACGAGGCCCTGGCCCTGCCCTCCTCATAGCCCCAGGCCTCAGCTCTGCACCACCATTCACTCCCACCCCTGGAGCCCAGGCCTGTCCTCCCTCCCCAGCTGCTAGCAGCGCTGACCAGTGCTACGCAGTCTGCACGGAGCAGCTCTGACGCCCTCAGCACCGGGACCCAGTGTTTTACAAGATGTGAACTTACTGCCGACCTCTGTACGCTGATCTGTCACTGCACACCCTGGACTGCCTGCTTCCCTGGAAAACCTGGCACTGGATCCCTGCCCTGCACGGCCAGCCAGGTCCCGCCCACCACAGCTCTGCCTGCACCGGCTCGTCATCTCCGCTGGGCTGTGCAGGTCAGACGGAGCTGGCCCTCGCAGGGCACACGACCAAAACCTGAACCGCAACACCAGGCACCATCCCCAAAGGCCGCCACGCTCTCCCACCTGGTGAGGGAGAAGATGTCAAACCACTGCTCGAGGGGAAGCGGTGCTTCCTCACGTGGGCCCTGCTGAGCACTTCGGGTGGGGACCGTGGCCAGGCCGGGAGCCAGGACGTCACAGCGGGGGGCTGGCCGGCAGGGCCTGTGTGGAGCAAGGGCAGGGGTCTCCATGGCTCGTCTTGGCCTCGGGAGGCCTGTTGGGCCGTAGCAGGGGCTGCGGGGAGCCCTCTGACACCTGCGGCCCCTCTGCATCGCGTGGTAACTCCTGTGTCGCACAGCCTCCCAGCCTGCCTGCTGCGGCCTGCCCTCTCCTGCCCAGCCCTGTGGGTCTGCAGACCCGCAGCACCATCGCGGATGCACACTAGGGGTAAGCACAGCGGGTAACCAGCCATGGTCACTACCCTGAACTTCTACTCCTTCCACGGCAACGGAGTCTAACGGCTGTAGGACCCAGTGCAAGTGCAAGGCAAGGAGCTGCAGGCAGGTCTGAAAAGCAAGGGAGCCGGAGAGCCGTCCCCCAGTGAACGCACACCTGGACGATGGGAGACGGAGCACAACTCCTGGTCCCCCACGCCCGATTCATGGGTGCCAGCTGCCCACACAAAAGCCCGCCGAGAGCAGGGGTGTCAGGGGCGTCCAGAGGCCTCAGCCCAGGGTCCCCGGGGCTGACACCCCCATCGGGCTCCGCTGCGCAGCTTCCCCAGCAGGGAAGAGGCAGCTGCGTGACGCCAGACCTGCTCTTCGCTTTCAACACCCAAGAAACGTGGTTTGACCTGATCTAATTGTGTAAGAAACCACCGAGGTTCTCTAAGAGGTTTTTAGGACAATGCATTGGGTTCACTCAGTTACCGGAGTTAAAGTCCAGAAATGTTCATTCAGCACATGAAAGTGATGCAAGATCGGTGCCGGGGACGGCAAGAGGGCACAGCTGCCCGTTAACCGAGCCTGGTCCCGGAAACGAGCAGCCTGCGCTGAGAGAGAATTACTCTCAGGCCCATTGCTCGCTTCTACCTGAGAGTGACAAGCTTTCCAGGTGGATTCGTCAGGTCAGAGCTCCACGTGAAGGAGCTGAGTGAGCGAGCTCTGTGGCTGTGATAAAGGTTCTCCCCTTCAGTATCTAATCCCTGAAGGAAATACTTTAAAAAGACCTGAGCCCTGGCCGGTGTGGCTCAGTGGATAGAGCGTTGGCCTGTGGACTAAAGGGTCCCAGGTTCAATTCCGGTCAAGGGCACAGGCCTGGGTTGTGGGCTCCATCCCCAGTAGGGGGCGTGCAGTCAGCAGCCAATCCATGATTCTCTCTCATCATTCATGTTTCTCTCCCTCTCCCTTCTTCTCTGAAATCAACAAAAAATATATTTAAAAAAAATAGAAAAATAAATCAATAAAAAGAGCTGATAGTGAGACCAAGGTCAAATATTTTCAATGATTTCCTGGAAAGAACGCTGAGCTCTGCCCTCGAAGAACAATCCTTAACAACTAAAGACGAGAGAGGAAATGGAGCCGTAACCAGTTCGAGGAGCCCGCCGTCGAAGGGAAGGACCCTGACGGGCAGCACTGCACGATGGAGCCGTAACCAGTTCGAGGAGCCCGCCGTCGAAGGGAAGGACCCTGACGGGCAGCACTGCACGGCCCCACGTCCATGCTCCCTCTCTCAACACGGCGCTGCCTGTCTGGGCGACCAGCTGGAAGCCCGTTTCCCAGCCCCTGCGCGGGACAGGAGGGCCGGCCGCACCGCCCACTCGAGCTGAAGGAAGCCCCGGGAGGTCTCTGAGGAGGGGCAGTGTCACCGGCACCTGCTTCCTGCCCTCGCGCTCCTCGTCCTTCCTGGAACCCAGAGCTGACGCTGGAGGTGGCAACAAACCAAAGGACTGAGCCACACGCTCAGGACGGCACCGCCACAGACTGCACGCCTGCCTCAGCCCGCGGACACCTGCTGGCAAA